GAGCGAGTTGTTTAGTGCGCCGTGGTTGTGCGTGTACTTGCCGGTGAGCAAGGAGGAGCGCGACGGGCAGCAAACTGGACTGTTGGCAAATGCGCGAGCAAAGGTGGCGCCGGCTTGCACGACCCGGCGATGCAGCACGGGTTGCCAGCGCGCTGCGTCAGAGAGGAGCACGTCTTGGTCGTCGGTGAGCAGAAGCACGACGCTGGGAGAGGCGAGGGTCGCGGATGCACCACTGCCACCCCTGGCAGTGAGCTCTTTGGTGACTGCGGCGATGCTCGTAACAGGCATTGCCATGGCTCGCATGTAAAGCGTCCGGCACTTGCCCGCCAAAAGAAAGCCAATTCGCGCGCGCCCTCGGGGAGGCTTCTCTCGAGGTCTCGAGATACAAAAGCGGCCAAGTCCGGCACCTCGAGACCTCGCGAGATTCGCAGAAAGTTGCGCGCAACCTTCCTTCCTTTTCCCGCCTGCGCCCGCCGCTGCCCGCGTCCCCGGGGCGAAGGCTACGTGTGGCGAGGGCTACGACCGCACTCCAGCCTCCACGCTGCGCCCGGAGCGATGCTCCCCTTCAAAAGAAAAATCGGTACAGAAAATGAAAAGCCACGCAACAATCCGGCACCTTTCTTTTCTTTCTTTTCTTTTTTCTGCTGGCGTGCCGTCTCCCATCCTCGGGTTGTCCCAGCCGTTGCCGGCGACGGGATCACGAACCTAGTGCTCAGTTCCGTCTTCCTCCCCCCCCCTCCTGTAGGTAGGCCGTCCCGCGCTGGCGGGAAGAGGCTCGCCGAGCCATCGGCGACGTCCCGGCGAGCTCACGGCCGCTCAAAAGGTCGCGGACCCGCCCGTCGCTTGCCGCCCCTCTCCCCCGGCGACAGGATCACGAACCTAGTGCTCAGTTCCGTCTTCCTCCCCCCCCCTCCTGTAGCTAGGCCGTCCCGCGCTGGCAAGAAGAGGCGCGCCGAGCCATCGGCGACGTCCTGGCGAGCTCATGTCCCCCCAAAAGGTCGCACCGGCCCGTGGCTCCGCCGTCGGCTCCGCCGCGAGCGGCGACGGTGAGGCCGCCGGGGCTCGCCTATACCGGCTAGTGTGGAGCTATCAGTGTGGTTGCGTGTTGTACTAGTGATGCTGCACTAGGCGGCCCGTTTTTAGCAAAAAGCAGATACCACATCGCGTGTGGTCGTCGAAAAACCGCATGTTCGCCCGTCTGGGACCTCTTCGTACGGCTCCAAAAACCGCTCCTTAACGACGACTACGCGGCCCGGCGGTCGATCTGCGCCTTCTCAGCGGTGGAGGGGATGTGGGCGGTACGTGCGGACTGCGTGGTGCTGCGATGGTTTGACGAGTGCGACTCCCAGCGTCGACTTTTCGACCCCACGGAGCCTCTGCTGCTCCGGGGGGGGGGGTCTGCAGACCACCCGGCCGA